TTCGACAGTGACGTCTCCATCATTGGCGCGGAAACGTGACACGTGACTTAGTAGCTTTAGTTAATCACCTCCTCCAACGTTCAACATCACCGTTAGAGTGAAGATCTGTTGGATGCGGACAAAGTTTAACTTCATATAAATGTTGGTCATCTACCCAAAGGTCAAAAAAGTAGTTTTTGAGGAATGCAGCCACTATACAAACATTTTAACTAAAACTGTGAATGGACTGCCTGTCAAGTTGCAATGCCAGTGGATCATAAATCATTTAGTTTTGGGCGCGTTTCCGTCATTCAGTGTTATTTATGAGAGTGAGTTTGTTTCCTTTTGAGGCTTCCAACAGCGTCCTCGTCGATTGAGGCCCTAGTGACTAGGCATGGAGCTACTGCCTGCTCGCGCGCACCTACTTGCTGGAAACTATCACAGAATCGAAGAAGAAGAGGAAGACGTGTCCCTTGAGATTGCGGCTGATTGTAAAATGTCAAAGCGAAATTTAGACAAAAAGGAGTTGTCGACCATCAGCACCCAAACAACTGGTGCATTTACATGCTTAAACATTTACGTTTGGAAGAGTTATGTGGGGTTCGCCAAGTATGAAAGACCGCTAAGCCACGGTTATGGGGCTCAAAAATTAAAAAAATTTCCTCAGCAGACTGGAGGGTTTGGCATGTGAGTTGTTCATTCCTCCCCAAAGTGGTCGTCAGGTCTCAAAATTACAAAGGCAGCGTTCTACTTTCACTCCCCCGGATAACGCAGATAGATGATGAGGAAGGCAGTTTCATTTCTCATCCACGAGGGGTATTTGTACTGTCAGTATTCGAGTTCTGTGGACTTCAATCCTGCGGCGGGACAACTATTCAACATCGGCTGTATTCCAAGACACCTACATGGGATGACTCGGACGTTGCGTTATAACGCGGGCGACTAGGCTACCGATCCAGTCCTTGTCCATTGGGTTGCACATCTGTATTATTTCCTCCGCAGTAAAATCGCCTAGTGAACTGCCTACGTGAGGATAATCAAACAAAATTCAAGGTGTCCACCACCTAACGAGATATCTTTGACGCATAAAATATCAAAGAGACATCAGCTAGCGTGTTTGCATAGTCTTAGATGGTGAGATGTCTCAAATCGTTCTCCTTCGGGACAGAATAAAGGTGTCCCGCTATACTCTCACCTTGTCAGCAAACTTCTGATGAGAATAAAATCTAAATCATGCTTTTTTGTTTGGTAGGCATTTGAGCCACAAAACCCCGCAGTTCCCTAAGCATTCTACACCAATCACGAGAGTCAACAAAGCCAAAAACCTCACTATCCTTTTACCATTCATAGGTTCGGTTGATGGAAATAAATGCCAATCTTCACCTACTCATGGGAAAGGTCAGAGAGGCTAGAGGACGGACATGTGTGCAGATTACTTCATTCGATTGCATCATCAGTAGAATAGAGTGATCAAATTTAACTTACTTTTTATTAATGTTAGCCTCTTGCAGTTACGACTCTACTTTCATCTTCTCCTCCGTGTTGCAGAAGCGGTGTAAAGCATAGGACATTATTTAAATTTTAATGGATTACTTTTAAATAATTTCTACTTATATTAAATAAGTACGATTAAATTTCAATATTGTGCAGTAAAGTAAAATTATGGTAGTTTAGATACTGGTTAAGGAGAATGGAAATTTCATTACAGACTTATAAGGCATTTATATTATAGGTCGCCGCAGGAGAAGTGGGATTTGCAATTTTACTTTCCCATTGTTAGGAACAACATACAGTGTGCTAGGTCATCAAGGCCTCTTGAAAGTTAGTCATTTCGTGCTGTTTGCATTTGGTAAACCAGTCAAGGAATGATCTAAAGAGCCCCACAAACCATTAACCACTTGACAATCAAAATATATTTAGTGGATTTTCAGTGCAGTCCTTCTCAATGCACTCTTTTTATTACTTAGCAACAACCAACTAAAGGGAGCACCTTTTTGTTGATGATTAATTTTCTACCCACATATTCACCCATCAATTCGCCTTTTCTCGTGCTATCTGTGCCCTGATTGAGTGGGCGGATGAAGCTGCCAGGAACACTTGTCTGTTTTCTCACTTTTGTTGCTCGTCAACCAATGAGAGCTCCTCATTGCTGCTGGAAGATCCTTGCATATAAAAGCGAGGATCTATGGACATATCGATTCACGCGTCAAAGTTCTGGGTTTACTAACTACCCTTACAAGTTTGTGATTGTCAGTTTATAGCCTTAGTAGGCCTCTGTCTCATTTTTGAGAGAAGTATATAAGCAATGGGACTGCAATTCTCGTTGCTTGCCTCAGTAGCTGCTGTAATTACCTGAGTTACTCAAACGGAAGACGTGGGTTTTATCAATGCACTATTCTGCATCACTTCACCTCCTGGAGCACCTGAACTGGAGTTTGCTTTAGTTTCTGAATTTGGCAAACCCGTTTTTGAGTTTTTCACAGACATGCTTCTGCTAAAACCCTTGCCCTTATCCATCCTTCAAGTTATGCCTGAGTCCTTGGGTGGTGGTCAACGGGGAGTGGACAGTGCCCACGTCAACCCCAATCGTGGGCCGGATATCTTCTGGACGACCATCTTCATCTTTCTGCTCACCGTCTTACTCATGGTCTTAATTCAGGTCGTCAACTTCTGTTATTGCTGCCGTAAGAGGATTGCTGTGAGTTTTGTTGTTTTTGTTTTCAGTAAAAGAAGTATCTCTTTTACGACCCCTTTTGAATTGGCACAGTCGCAAGTGTAGGAAAGACCGAATCATAAGTAGCCATTTTTGATAAGAAAAATGAGACTTTTGGAAGCATTGAAGGGGCTCAGATTCACTGACACTTAATTCTAAAAAAAAATCCATGATATTTGTAGATGCAGAAGGGAATAAGCTACAAGACTAGTCTGTCGCTCACAGCGACAACTAACTTTACTTCTGTGGTGCAAAATAACGTTAAACGGCTGTGATTTAATCATTCTAAAGCCTCATGGTTCGATGAATGTCCTGCAATTGGCAGCGCTGGGCTCCGATTTTAGCAATGGGTGGTTGATTTTCCGCATCGTCTACATTGTGGCATTAGTGATTGCGCTGGCCTTTCTCTTCGTCTCCACTATCCTCCTCATCGTGTACTTCCATAGTACTGGACTAGTTGCCGCCTACCTGGAGACAGCTCCACAACCATCAACAGGGCGTCCATCTTCTGTCTCCCTACCTGACGGACTGCACTCCACAATGCTGCATGCTTCTTCTTTTGTCCGTGATGGGATCGAAAAGGGTCGTGGCCTCACCAACACGACCCTCCGTGACCTCTTCGATCGGGCTGATGTGAGTCAGTCTAATTCTTGCCTAAATTATTGTGAAGAATGGGGTTTCTGCTGGAATTTCGATCCAAATGCACTTATTATTTTAAGTTTGTGATCCTCTTTTCCCGTATTTTGGCCTTTAGTGCTGCTGGAGGTGAGTCGATGCAGTCAATACAGTGTGTTGTGGTGTAAGCGTAGAAATCCCAATATTGTCGATGCAAATGACTCACTTTTGGTGATGAAGACTGACGATGGGATAATTTTGGCAGCCTTTATTTCTACCTATGCCTCACAAATCTATCAGAAGTGGAAATTAACGTTGTG